GGAGTAGCTCCGGCGGCTTGTTCTACCGAAGAAGATGATCAGAAACCAAGATGTCTTCAATTCTCCGTTCAGGTATGCATTCGATATTCCAATCATTGCTCTAAATTATGCTCTTTTTGCCTCTTCTTCTTCCCTTATATGTGCGGGTTTTCATAGTTGTTGTGGTGAGTTCTTGAGAAATTGGAGATTATTGTTGTTGTGAATGATGAGGGCGAAGTGCGGAACCAAGTGGTGGTTTTTTCGCTAATTTGCAGAGATGAATGAAGTTTCTAAGGTGATTCCGGAGATGATGATATGATGAAGGTTACATAGGTTTTGGAAGTTTGAGGAAGATGGTTGAGAGAGGGTAAAGAGTGAGGGTGATGTTTGAGAGTGAAAAATGCACAAAATGAAGCATGAAGTTGGATTGAAGGTGAGTTGATGATGGAGGTAAGAATGATGGTTCTTAGGAAAATGGTGGAGAAGGTAAGATTTTGAAGAATGGTATAGAGAAAATTCGGAGGGAAAGAATAAAGAGGGACCATGAAGATTGAAGGTGAGTCTTTTTTCTATGGTTATTCTGTGATTTTTTTCCTGGTGTCGATGAATCGTATCCCCCTCCTCCCTCTTTCTATTTTTATGTTATGATCTGTTATATTTAGTTGGAAGTTTGTTACAAAATTAGTTAGGATAGTTAGAGAATTGGTTTTTTTGCTGTAATTTCGGTGAAAAGTTGTTAGGAAGTTAGTTTTGGACTGTTTCTCCCAGTTACAGGTGTGAGACAATTAATTATACACTGTTTGGAGGGTGGTTAGAATTTGTTAGGAATCTGTTAGGACTTAGAAGTTAGCTGACAGTTATAGAGTTCTATATTTCCCGTAATATACTTAAGATTAGGAATCCAGAACTGAGTCAAAGTTGCACTAAATATTTCAGGCGGGACAATGTTCATAGTATCAATTACATTTGAAGAACCATGTTTAACTAGAAAGAGTGAAATGAATATCAAGAGAGATTTGAGGAACTTTATTAGCCGCTTTTTCTGGAGCTCTCTAAAAGTAGAAGCCCAAATGTGAGAAAGATAAGGCTTAATAACATCATACGGGAGACTCTCAATGATAGTGTTAAGCACATAAAATCCTTTTTCATAAGTGCTTGAAGATTGTATCAGTGAGTCAAATATGCCAAGTACTTTGGTCAATTTAGCCTCTTGGATGATCTCATTTGGTGCCTTTTGAGGGAAAGCCTGGAGTAGACACACAAGGGCAGGAACATTTAAGGCTCTTTTCCAAAAGCCAGGAAACAAAAGAATCTCAAATATCTGCATGTAGATTGGTGGGATGGGTAGTGAAGTTGTTAGAAAGTTTGTCAAATGGCCATTAATAATAGTTAGGTGATTATCTTGTTAGAATATTTTGTTAGTATTTAGTTTGAGAACGAATAGGGTTAGGAAATTGTGTTTGGAATGTTGTAGTAGGTTCTCATAGCTTTGTTTTATATAGGGGCAAGAGAATCCACCATGACAAGTTTGATGTCAAGGTTTGGGAGGCATAATGTTTGATGAACTGAGTTAGCCGCCTTACAGTGCTTAAACGGCAAATGAATCTCTGTTTCAATCGGTTTCAATTGTTCATGTTCATTTTCTATTTTGATGATAGTCTATATCTCTGACTTATGTGCCAAGAAAACCATATGAATGAACCTTCCATCTTTAGCAAGTTTGAAATAATTCTTGACAAATCACGTGCTTGAGAACTTGGATCAAATCAATTAATTTGGACACTAATTTGAATTTATGAAATCACTCAAATCGACTTCAAATCAAAATCATTTTGAACCCTTAACTTCAATCACTAATCCAAGTAATATTGTATTACATGCCTCAAGTAATTGAAAGAATAAACATATCTTCAACAAATTGAGTCCACAAGTTCATCCCTTACACCATGACTTGCACTTCAATCCAACACAACAACAGTTCCTTGAGAAATCCCTGAAGATAAGAACTAATATTTGAAGCATAACAAGAATGAAAACCTTAAATCCAGTCTTTAATTGATGAACCATATACTCAATGAGGAAACTGATGAACCAAGTTAAATTATTGCATAAACCTTCAAACCACCTAGAAGCCCTAGCTTCCATAATCCATACTTTATAAGAAAACCCAATGATCCGAGCTTATTTGATTCGTACACCTCAAACCAGGGTAAAACCATAATTCTATTTATGAACATTGATCCAATGCTAAATTTATTGATGATGCATGATTTATTGTATGACCTAATGGAAGTTATATACATTAGGAAAGTGCGAGATGAACAAGCCATATACAAGTGAAAGGGTAGGACAAATTTGGGGTGTTACACTTGAGTGCGAGGAAAATGCCATTCAGCCATATAAAGAGTCGTTGGAGACAATTAACTTGGGTTCAGAGGAAGATCCGAAAGAAGTCAAGATTGGGGAACTACTTCATCCCGATGTGAAGAGCAAGTTGATTAAGTTGCTGAAAGAGTATATGTATATCTTTTCTTGGTCTTACCAAGACATGCCTTGTTTGGATACCGATATTGTGGAACATTATTTTCCGCTAAAGCCAGAATGTCCACCAATCAAGCAGAAGTTGCGAAGAACTCATCCTCACATGGTAGTGAAGATTAAAGAATAGGTTTTGAAGTAGATTGATGATGGTTTTATTGTAACATTAGTGTACCCTCAGTGGATTACCAATATTGTTCCATGACCAAAGAAATACAGAAAAGTCCACATGTGCGTTGATTATAGAGATTTAAATAAAACAAGTCCGAAAGATGATTTCCAATTACCATATATTGATATGTTGGTTGATAGCACAACAAAATTCAAAGTGTTCTCATTCATGGACGAATTTTCCAGATACAATCAAATTAGGATGGCTCCTGAGGACATGCAAAAAACAACGTTTATCACTCCCTGGGGAACATTCCGTTACAGAGTGATGCCCTTTGGGTTAAAGAACGCTGGTGCAATGTACCAGAGGGCTATGAAAACCCTATTCCATGATCTGATGCATAAAGAAATTGAAGTATATGTTGATGATATGATCACCAAATCTCAGACTGAGGAAGGGCATATAAAAGAGTTGTTGAAATAGTTTCAGCGATTGAGGAAGTATCGTCTCCGTTTGAATCCAAATAAGTGTACTTTTGGTGTTTGTTCTAGAAAGTTGCTAGGTTTCATTGTCAGCCAAAAAGGAATTGAAGTTGATCCTGATAAAGTTAAGGCAATTCAAGAAATGCGTGCACAAAGAGCTGAAAAGTAAGTTAGAGGCTTCCTTGGACGTTTGAATTATATTTCCAGATTTATCTCCCATATGACTGCAACATGTGAACCAATCTTCAAGCTGTTAAAGAAAGATGAAGGTTGTGTGTGGACGGACGATTGCCAAAGGGATTTTGAAAGCATTAAAGAGTATATGCTTGAGCCTTCTATCTTGCTCCCTCATGTTGAAGGAAGACCATTAATTATGTATCTAACTGTGTTGGATAACTCCATGGGCTGTATTTTGGGACAACAAGATGAAATAGGAAGAAAAGAATATGCCATTTATTATCTCAACAAGAAGTTCACTGACTGCGAGTCACGATATCCTATTCTTGAAAAAACATATTGTGCTTTGGCCTGGGAGGCAAAGTGATTGCGAAAATATATGTTGAATTATATTACTTGGTTGATTTTTAAATGGATCCAATTAAGTACATATTTGAGAAATCTACTCTTACCGGAAGAATTGCTCGTTGGCAGGTGTTGTTGTCTGAATATGATATCGAATACCATATGCAAAAGTCTATAAGAGGAAGTGGGTTGGCAAAGTACCTTGCTCACCAACCGGTTGACGATTATCAGTCTATTAAGTATGATTTCCCTGATGACAATGTGATGTTTTTGAAAGTAAAAGATTGTGATGAACCTTTGCCTGAGGAAGGTCCTGATTCTGAATCCCGAAGGAGTATGATGTTTGATGGAGTTTAAATGCTTATGGAAAAGGAATTGGTGCTGTGATTATCACTCTCCATGGGTCACATATCCCTTTTACTGCAAGGTTGACATTTGATTGTACCAATAACATGGAGGAGTGTGAAGCTTGTATCATGGGTCTTGAAGAGGATATAGATCTCATAATTAAAATTCTTGATGTATATGGAGATTCAACTTTGGTAATAAATCAGATCAAAAGAGAATGAGAGACTCGTCACATTGGCTTGATTTCCTACAAATATTATGCAATACGATTATTACCTTTCTCCAATAAAGTTGAATTCCATCATATTCCTAGAGATGAGAATCAGATGGCAGATGCTTTAGCCACGTTGGCTTCCATGTACCAAGTAAATGCTTGGAATGGTGTACCTTAGGTTACAGTTTGACATCTTGATGGACCACCTCATGTGTATGCCATGGAGGGGACGTCAGATGAAAAACCTTGGTATTTTGATATCAAGCACTTTCTTCATACTTAGGAATATCCGATTGGTGCGTCGAATAAAATATAAAGACATTGAGAAGGTTAGCAAGTAGCTTTTTCCTCAATGAAGATGTGTTATACAAGAGAAATTATGACATGGTCTTGCTCAGATGCGTGGATAGACACGAAGCATACATGTTTATGCATGAGATCCATAAAGGTTCCTTTGGTACCCGTGCCAATGGACACTCGATGGAAAAGAGGATGCTTATGGAAGGTTACTATTGGTTGACAATGGAATCTGACTGTTACAAATTTGAGAAGAAGTGCCATAAATGTCAAATTTATGCTGACAATATTCATGTGCCTCCAATGCTCCTCAATGTTATTTCTTCCCCATTGCATTTTTCTATGCAAGGTATTATGATCGGAATGATTGAACCCAAGGTGTTGAATGGACATCGTTTCATCTTAGTGGCAATTGACTACTTCACCAAGTGAGTGGAATAAGATTCTTATGCTAATGTCACCAAGAAGGCGGTAGTACACTTTATCAAGAACAATCTTATATGTCGGTATGGTGTGCCAAGGCTCAAATTTGAATAATAAGATGATGACTGGGCTTTGTGAAGAATTCAAGATTGTCCATCATAATTCATCTCCTTACAAGCCTAAAATGAATGGGGATGTTGAAGATGCTCATAAAAATATTAAGAAGATCATCCAAAAGATGGTTGTTACTTATAAGGATTGGCATGAGATGCTTCCTTTTTCTTTGCATGGGTATCGTACATCCGTCCATACTTCAACAGGGGCAACCCCGTTCTATCTTGTGTATGGTATGGAAGCAGTTCTCCCCGTTGAAGTTGAAATTCCCTCTTTGCGTGTAATAATGGAAACCAAGTTGTCAGAGGCTGAATAGGTCCAAAATAGGTTTGATCAGTTAAGTTTAATTGAAGAAAATAAAATGACGGCTTTATGTCATGGTCAGTTATATCAGAAAATAATGAAGTAAGCTTTTGTTAAGAAGGTCAAGCCTTGTGAATTCAGAGAAGGCGACCTCGTGCTCATAAAGATCATGTCTTTTAACGCTGATTCTAGGGGCAAGTGGATTCCCAATTATAAAGGCCCGTATGTTATCAAGAAAGCCTTATCTGGCGGTGCATTAATTCTTGAAACTATGGATGGTGAGGAGTTCCCACATCCTATGAATGCTAATGCAGTCAAGAAATACTTCACCTAAAGAAATAAAATAACAACTCGCTAAGTTGAAAACCCAAAAGGGAGGCTTAGGAAAAAAAGAGCGTCTCGGTAGACTAAAAACCCGAAAGGGTGGTCTAGGCAATAGTTAGAGACATAAACAAAATAAGTTTTCTCAATAGGTTGAAAACTCGCAAGGGAAACCTAGGCAAAAGTTAGGGATTTCTTGGCAAGGAACTAAATCTGACAAGACTTGATCATTGAAGCAACAATCTTCTCGGATTCTCACCACACTTTAACTGAAGCCATAGCTCAGGAGTTCAAAGTTGTTAAGGAGAATAGTGGTCATTGTATTTTAATGTATATTTTCTATGTATTTACCATTTAATAAAAAACATTGTAATCATCCGTGGAGTCACGCCATTTGCAGACTACCATTCTATTAATAAAGTTTGAGCCTTTAACCAATTCTTTGTAGTTCTTATTTTATTCTATTTACAAAAATTTCATTTATTATTGATAGTAATTTTCAAAACAAAAAGACTTAATAATAAAAACCTGTTTTTTGAAAAGAATTTTCAAATTACTTTTTATCTTAATTCTGTGATTCAGGTGGAACAAAAGTACTGGTTCCAAGGATAGACGAACTTCGGAGTTTTGAAACGATTTCCCAAGAAGTATTCCCAGGTTACTCTTGTTGAAATGAATTTAGCCCACTTGTGATTTGTTCCTTGGATAAATGGATTTCATACCATTTGATATACGGTGCGGTGTTGTGGTTTGTGATCCCATTATCCCTAGTTAAGTCTTTGGTCATATTTTCTCCAGGTTGTTATTTGGTTATGGGTTTGCATGGTTTGATACCTCTATCTGAAATCTCTAGTCAGGTCTTGATGCAGATTTCTCTAGCTGAGTAGGATTCTTTCCCCAATTGGTTTATGATCAATTAGAGTTTGTAAAGTTATGAAGCCTTCACTCATTTGATGGAAGTTCTTTCTCCCTTTGTGTGTTGAGAATGTATGAAGAATCTTTTGCAGAGAATTATTCTCTCTAGTTACGACATTTTTGTTGTTATGTGCTCCACAGGTAGCCAGATAAGGGCAGTATCCTTCTCTAAGAAGTATTGAAACAATTGTCAACTTTTTTGGTTTTCTCTCGTCAAGTGTTGAGTTTCATTTAAAATCCCCATAATTTTGACTTCATGCTATGATGTTAACTTCTTAATTCCTCAGATGAATCAAAGATGATGCTTCCTCTAAAGTTGATATTCCCTTGAAGTTTCGTAATTTCTCCCCAACGAAGTTTGTGCAACCATTACTCTTGATATTGAAGATTTTTTGTAGGTTCCCGTCAAAGTGCATGATATTCCCTGGTGAAGCTTGGAGGAGTGTGTTATATCTCGCAACTGTATTGGGTTATTGCTATCAGATTGTGCTTTGATTATTTTTCAAGCCATGTTTCTTCCCAGTGAAGTTAAGCAGTGAAGTAGGACTTTGTTTCCTCAGTTGGTGCTTACTCTCTTATGGAATCATCCTCCTGGATGTGATTTAGCCGAGTGTTGAACTTACCCAAGTTGTTTTGATCTGGTTATCCTCAGTGCAATATGTCTATTTTGTCAGCATATACATGATAACATTCATACACTTATACATTCCATGCATAGCTAAATTAAAATTCATTTCTCATTTGCATTCATTGATGTTTCCTTTGATATCTTATCCTCTTTGCAGAGTTATGTCATCCTCTCTCCAGTAGAGTGTCAACCTTAAGCAAAAAGTGTATATCCTTTCAATTTCCCCAATAAGTTATCCCTCGTGGAAGAATTTTGCTTTAGCCTTCCTGCCCAGCTCATTATCTGGATGGAACTTGGTCCCCATTTGAGTTTATTCCTCATTGGATGGTGTCTTGCTTGACTATTTCACTCCGGTTTGTTCCTGGTTTGAATTTGTGGTCCTCGGCATCAATGTTACTCTGACCTCTCTAGGATGTGAGCCCTGGATTGAGAATGTGAATTTATTTTACACGTGAAGACTTTATCTCCTCAGCAGGAATGTCTTGGTATTTCCCTCACGAAATCAGAGATGCATTCCCCAGCAGTGTTATCGTAAAAACAAGTGGTGGTCTCTTTATTTGAGCAACCTATACTTCTCTAGTAAGTTTGTTAATGATAGATAAGATGTTTTTACTCCAATGGATGGTAGTCTCTATGTTATGGGAGATAATTCATTTTTGAGGTTGGCTATACTTCAATGTTAAAGACAGTTCATTAAAAGATTCTTACAGTAGTTTGTTACCCTTTCCAGGTGGAATGCTTTGGTCAAATAAGAAGTTGAGACCCGTTCTAGGTGGAACGCCAAAATTTTGGGAAACATATTAGTAGCTCACCTTCAGTAAAAGTTGGTACATCTTGTATCTCTACCTTTAGTAGAAGTTGGTAGCTCACCTTTAGTAAACGTTGGTGTCATCTTTTATCTTTACCTTCAGTGGAAGTTGGTAGTTCACCTTCAGTAAAAGTTGATGTATCCTTTTATCTCTACCTTCAGTGAAAGTGGATAGTTTCACCTTCAGTAAAAGTTGGTGTATCCTTTGTATCTCTACCTTCAGTGAACGTTGGTAGTTCACCTTCAGTAAAAGTTGGTGTATCTTTTGTTTCTTTACCTTCAATAAAAGTCAGTATTGTTCTATTTTTTCTACCTTCTTTCTTGAGTTGGTAGTTCACTATCGTTCGTAGTCGATATTTATCTCTTTCTACTAATTGGACTTTACTCTAATAGAGTTGAGTTGTTCCCAGTCATAATTACTGATTTCAATTCTTTGTTTCCAGTCATAAGTGCTGATGTCAAACCCTTATTCCCATCCATAAGTGTTGATGTGACCATTTGTTCCCAGCCACGAGTGTTGATGTCAAACCTTTGTTCCCAGCCATAAGTGCTGATGTCAACCATTTGTTCCCAGCCATAGGTGGTGATGGCAACCCTTTGTTCCCAGCCATAAGTGCTGATGTCAACCCTTTGTTCCCGACCATAACCGTTGATGTCAATTCTTGTTACCAACCATAAGCATTGATGTCAATCATTTGTTTCTAGTCATAAATACTAATGTCATTAATTTGTTACCTACCTCAATATTAGTGTTTACCGCCATCTCTGAACCGGTATTATCTTACAAATTTTATTCGCGTCCTTCGTATTGGTAATTTATGATCCCCTATTGTTGTACCCCAAAATTTTCCCTCCCATTTTCTTCAAAACATTCTCATGAGGTCCTCATTTACTCAAGATGGCTCAAGAGTTGATCAGACAAATGCTCCTCCTAAGCAATGGGTCTACAACTAGGGTTTTGAGTTTCTAAAGGAAGATTGGGTCCCAAAAATACCAAGTGAATTCCATTCTTCATATGTATTCAAGGATCATCATATCAAGTTTCAAGTCTTGCATCAAAAGTTTGCTCAATCAATTGCTCAGATGATTGAAAATCTATTGTATTAGGTAAAAAGTCAATTGTGGTCAACATACAGTGAAACTTCAAGATTTTTGGTCAACATCAACATTTTGAAGTGATATTCATCATTTTATCAAGGGTTGATCATGATTCCTTAATAAAAGTCCTCAAATCATCAAAAGTCAGAAGTTGCCAAATTTGGGTTTCCTTAAGAGAAGTCAGCTGAACTTTGACCAGGCATAACTTTCACATGCTTCATCAAATTTTTCCAAATCAAATCCACTTTTTAAGGAAATTCAATTCTCTAAAACTTTTAATATTTATGCTCAAGTCCAAAAATTGCTTCATTTAAGAGATATGAGTCAATACATTACAAGTCATTTAAAAAGTCAACAAAAAGACACTTTTTGTCAAGGCAACTTACATCAAGATAAAGTCTCCAAATGCAAAAATTATCAAAAGAGAAATTGAATAGAACATCTTGAGATTTCCAAAAGTATAAGGTCAGCTTCAAAAGATAAAAATTGAGAGAGTTATAACCATTGCAAGTTGGGAAATTTTGGTAAAATGGATGATGTGCAAAGTGAGCAGCAAACTTGAAATTTTGGACTAATGCACCTAAGTTTTAAGGTCTAAACATGTTCATAATGCCTTAGAGGACTCCTAAACTCATTATTACCTTACCTTAATTTTTATTTATGTTTATTTGGATTTTTACTCAATTAAATTCAAGATAAATATAATAAAATACAAGTAAAAGGTAATAGGCGTGTGGGTATTCATGTTGGATCAAGCAAAAGCCCAAATCCCTGCCAACTAATGCTAGAAACCGTGCGGTTTTGTTATGGAAATGAATCTTCAAATTTTGGAAAGTATTTGAAATCATTTTGGAAACAAATCATGCTTTGATCACACAAGATTTTTACCAAGTTTGTTGACCTAATTCCACAAGTCTATAAATAGACAACATCATCAGATGCAAAAAGAGAGACATCTACCACGAGCATAAGGGTTTCAAAGCTCAAAATTTTTTCAAAGAAAACTTGTAATTTCATGTAGCAATTTCCAACCATATTCAAGCAGAACGAAGCACTCTTATCACTTCCTGAATATCTACAGAGTAAGTAAAATCGATCTTCAATGGGTTCCCATGCCTGAAATGATCATGTTCATCATCTCCGATTGCAATTTTTTCATTAGTCATATTTTTAATGATATGCTTTGTTGGATATTTCTAAACAAACAAATCAGTTTATGTGAATGTTTAGAGCATGTTGCAGT